CCAAACGACTGCCGGTTCCCCATTTTGGGCCTTTTCCCCCCTCGACCGGGAAACAAGTTAAGCCGGCTTGAATTTGACCGATTTCGACGAACCCGGAAAGCAATGACAACTAGCAAAGTCAAAATGGGGACGCAGCATGAAGGCAGCCGATAAGAAAAGACTTGCTTGTTCTGTCTGGTTGGGGGCCAACACCACTGATTCATCACACCCTCGTGCGCAAGCATATTTTTTTTTTTTGGTCCGTTGGAAATTCTTGTCTGTTGTTGCCATCGGCTACTCGTCGTCTCGACTGCTTGAGCTCCGATACTATTCCCCGTTGCCTCGTTCTCTGTGTCTCTCTTGTCTTTTGAAGCTGTACGTTGTGTCTCATCACCTGGCTGGGTTTAAGCTTTTCCTGCGGTATATATTATGTTATTCCTTCTTTTTTTTTCCTTCCAATTTATGTGCACATCTTCTCTTCGGCTTCCACGGCATCCATGCATCACCAGACGCGGGCTACTCCTTGCCTCTCTCCTCGTATACGCTGTTTTTAGCTCATCACGGTTGCAGCACGTCGTGCGTCGTACATATGCGTCAATTGTGACTGTTTCGGTCGCATCATCGCACCTCCTCTCTACAACTACAAATTTCAGTACGATGTACTGTGTTTTTTCAATTTCCTCGTCCTCGTCGCTTCATCCCACGCAGCTTGCATCTGTTGTTACTTGATTCTCATCACGGTGTCATTTTACCACCTTTTTGTAACCTGCACCCCCACTCCGACCAACAAATTCTCATCCTTGTGTTTCCATTTACTTGTTTTGTTGCATTCTCGTTGGTGGCCTCACTTGCACCAGCACCCACCCTCCAGTCTGTACGACGTAGATGACCGTTTTCAGAATATAGTGGCTTTTTTGAACCACCAGGACCAGTGCCACCGTCATACGATTCCCACAGTTTCTTACATTCTATTTGTATGACCTTGCCCAGCTACCGGTTGATTGCTTTGAGATTGAACTTCGGCCTGTATTTTGTGGCATATAAGTTCTTGCTTTTCTTTCATCGCTGAAGCTGCCGTATGACGGCCCAACGCTCAGTGCCGCAAGGGGCGGCCAACAAAGAGAATCTTCACGCTAAACGCTTGTGTGCCAAGGTCTACAGGAGTCTACGACTTACTAGGCGGTTGGTTCCCTCGGAGTCTTTGACACATGCCCGTTGGCGCTCCACCGAACGCCACCAACACCGCTCACATGGACACTTGCACATATTTACGTATGCCCTGTTTGACGCGGAAAAAAATAAAAAATTCATGGCCGTTGCCCGGAAGCCAAAGCTCCCGGCTCTTGACAGTTCATGGGAGGGGCACACGTTTTGTCTCGTCCTGTTGGAAAATCCCCGTGGCTTTTCGTCCGTTTCATTAGTTGAACGCAGGCAAGTCGTTAGAGACTAAGTGGAGGGCATACCCTTGTCAAGAAGGTGCCGACAGCGGCCGGGCAAGTGAAATGTATGGCTCTGTATTGCTGTCTCGCCGGTCTTGTTTGGAAGGTTGGCATAGGGTCCAGAGACACTTCCAGACACGCTTGTTCAAAGGCTGACGAGCGAGAATAGGCACGTTGGGCGAGCAATGTCTGCAGAGGATGGGCGGAGAGGTGTCAAGATACTCGGCTACGTCTCGTGCTCTGTACATAAACTACCATCCCGTTCACTTTGGTGGATCCAATCCGCCTCCCACGAAGTTCGTCGTTGCTAGTCTGCAACTGTCGACGGGTCGGAGACTTTTCTTTTCTCGTTTTATTTTTGTCTTTTTCGTCAGTGTATCGTCGACTCGGTTGTTTTCGTCTCGCCTTGGCCGTTTTACGCTGCCCCCGTCAGAATCCGTGTCTCCAGGTCGCGGCAGCATACAATTTTGGCACCTGTTCCCTCTCTGTCCTTTGAGCCGAGTGTTCCCCTCTTTCTACGACGTCGTTGGCGAAAGAGGTAACACGACGTCCATTCCCCTCTTCGTCCTGTGCATGAGTCTGACCTCGCCCGCCGTGACCTCGGTAGAAGCGCCGGTTGGAGAAGCTCGCTATGGTGGGAGACAAGGCCAAATGCCCTGAACATCCAGAATGGCAGATCACAGCGAAATCCTGCAAAATGGAGCAAAAAGGGGAAAAGCCCAGAACGGGTGCGGGGTTGCTGGTCGTTATTGCCGGGGCTAGTAGCGCGAGAGGAGATTTCCCCTCTTTTTTTTGCCTGCCTCTTTCTGATTTTGCTAGCTTGGCTTTGGTGCCTTTTCGCTTGATTTATTCGCTTGTTTAATTCGCCTGTTGGCACCTGGCACTTGCCGTTTGGCCTGCAGATGACATTGGGTGGGGAAGGCAACTCCAAGTGTGATTGCAGCTGGGCTCGCTGGGATATGGCACACTCCGTTTGCAAAGAATGACGATGGAAGGGGCGTGCGTGTGGGGAAGGAGTGACTCGCACGGCCGGCTGTGCAAATAGCGATCCCACCCTCAAGGTCACCCGGAGGCTCTTTCCTTGCCTTTCGCGCTTGTTGGTCAGCTAGGCAGGAACACAAAGCAAAATCACTTTCTGCGGAGGGAGTATGTTCTATGTTGTACTCGATACCACTTTCCTCGCCAGTGCATGTCTGCTAACCGTTCTTTCCACGCGGTTGGGCCTGACCTTGCACGACTGTCCCAGCTGCCGAGACAAGAAGGAGCATGGGCGAGAATCGGAGGCAGGCGCGAATGAGATGGGTTTGACTTTTGACCTGACGGGAAAGAGGAAGAAGGGACGACGAAAAAGGGGGGGAGGGGGGGATAGGAGATGCACAGGTCGTCCCCAATGATCTGTTTTCCTTGTTTAGTAACAAAGCAGCGACGTGATTCCCACCAACCCTTGTTCTCTGTTGCATCACAGCTCCTTTTTCGGCAACGCGGTGCTGCCAGCTTTCGCTCGCCTGAGCTGGTCACGAAGTTCAACTTAGTCTGCAGCGCCCCACGCTCTCCGCACTTTGTGGTTCGGATAGTCTTTCGCTCAGAAAAGAATGGAGTAAGTGCTTACGCTACAGCGCCATCCACAATTTACGTTTCGCGCAGCCAGTCGTCCGTGCCCGTACAATGTCTCGACATTGATAATGGTCCGACAAACAATCCACACTCACCTTCACGTTCTTTTCGGGTCTCTTTTCGGTTTTATTTGACTGACGCACCTTGCTATTCGTCGTATACCAGAAACAAGACCCTGGTGCGACGGAAATAAAATCTGCCTGGACGTGTCAGAACGATATGTCACTCATACGAATGTATTCTCAGGGTTAATTACTGGTCATTTCTGGGCATCCCAGGGCAGAAAATCTGGAATCTTGGCGGATTTCCGAGCTCCACGCCAAAGGTGTCCCCAGAACGTCAAATACAACACTGCAGAGCGCCGTCTTGGCCACCTTCGACAGTTACCATCATCCTGCTCGGATGCGTGCCGACCGCCGACCCACATCTACAAGTCAGAGCGCGTATCGATGTGCATTGGTGCAAAAACCAATACACCTCATGTAGCCAGAAAAAGGAAATACCGACAGGCACAAAAGTCTGTCGACGATATAGACTTCGACAGGTGGACACCAGTTCCTCCTCGTCTTGCCAGCCACGAGCCGCCGCCGCGCGCCCAAGAAACATTTAGCTGCCTCCCCATAACTGCTAGCACGCAAATTTGGGCATCGATTCGAAGAACCGAAGTGCAGCAGCTGCAGTTCCAGCGCTCAGTTCAAACCCAATCACCCCTTGCTCGGTAGCGTGCACATGCCTCGTGATGGCACTAAGGCTTCGGGGAGACGCCAGAGATGCTGCCATCGACAGTCTGGAGAGCAATACGAATCCCAGGCGGATACTCTGGGGCTGATGACCAGCACCAAAGACGGAGGACAATACCAGCGTCATCCGTACAAGCCTGGACTTAACGAGGTGGGACAGTGGCCAGTGGCCAGTGGCTCTCGGGGTCACTGCATTGTCTGTTCTGTTTTCATGTTGGAGTTGTTTCTCTGTCTCCTGTCTAGTCGACTATCCCCACAGCTGCTGGCCAGCCCTAGAACATGATGTGATCGCCTTTTTACACCCCCCCCTCCCCCGGGCCCACCTTCCTTTCACTTTTATCGTCAACCCACCGACCTGCCAGAGACCATAGTCAATAACCGTAGGCCGCGTGCCTGTGTAGACTCGTTTACCCCGGAGTCAACTTTGTTGGGGGGAGGACAGCACTCTTTCCTGTTGCTCTCCTATTCTTGTGCTTCACTTTCTTTGGTCCGGCACCAATGCCTTGTTGTACCGAATACTCCTCCTTTTTATTTCGTTAACACTCCGTAGATACTCCGGACTCACCAACGGATCACTCAAGACTTGGAGAAATCTACACAGGACACAAACCAAACGTCAAATTCCCCTGAGAACCTCAACCTGACACACACACACACACACACACACACAAATTATTCGTACTCGGTTTTGTTTTCACAGTTTGGTCTTGTTCCTTTTCTTTCTCATTGCCCACCCCTCTTTTCCGCACAGCTCCTATACCTGATTTCCCGTTCTGGTAGAACGCTCCAAACAAGCTTTTTGTCCATCACCCCGTTCGAATTGCGTTTCTTCTCTTTTAACTGCCTCCTCTCGCGGCCCCCTCCCCCCCAAAACCAAAATCCAAACCAAAACCCAGCACTGCCCATTTCCCATATTTTGAAAAATCATTCCCCTTCTCTGGCACAGATCACATGAGACCCCCTCTCACCCACCTCATCTCTCAACCTCGCCCTTTCTTTAGCGGCACATCGGACTTCTATCTCCATTAAGTTATATCCTGGTCTGCCTCTCGAGCAAAGAAAAAAGAAATTGTATTCGGTCTTCAACTGCATCATCAAGCAGTGGCTGTCTCCACGTGTGTATCGAGGCTGCCAAGCCTTCTCCAATTTTGATGAGAGCAACAGTAGCGACCTACCTTTCACAGCAAGCATTCATCCACGCCATCCAACAAGACAATACACCCGCACCATGGCATCCGCCGACGAGGCTAAGCTGTCCCACTCGGACGACAACGACATCCACAACCAAGAGAACGTGTCGGCGCGCGGCAGTGCATCTCGCAGCATCAAGCAGCAGGTCCGCCACCGTGCTTCAGTGGCCTGCGCATCATGCCGTGACCGACGTATCCGTTGTGTGGTGCCCAAAGGCGAGGCCGAGTGCACACAGTGCAAGCGGGCCGGCACCGAATGCATCATCAAAAACGACGATGAGCGTCGGCGGCCCATTTCCAAGGCGTACATGTCGTCACTATCAGACCGCATTCAGCTGCTGGAGAGCATGCTGGTAGATCGCGGTGTTGAGCCGCCGCCGGCTGTGCACCCGCCCAAGACGCGACAAGACACGGCAGGAAGCAAGGCCGGTGGACAGACCAGTGCCGACGAGGGCCTATCAAACTCACAACAAGTACTTGCTGCCGGCTTTGCCCAGCAACAGCAACAGCAACAGCAACAGCAGCTGCAGCAAGAAGCTGCGGCACAACAAGCAGCAGTGCAGCAGGCAGCTGCCGCGCGATCCCAGTTCCAGCAGCAGCTGATTGCAACCACCAGTCCCGATCTCCTCGCCCCTACACCACAGGCCCAGCAGTTCGTCTCAAACCAGCTGCCCTCAAACATCAGCAACGGCCAGCCGGCTCTGAGCAGTGATGGATCCCCATCACGCGACAATACGTCACCGCCAGAGTCCTCGGCGGACATCCAGACTGATGACTTTAATATGCACGAAAGTGAACACCTTGACACAAGCCTGTCCGGTCCCGTGGCTGCGGCAGCCTCCGCAGCCGCCGCCGCGGTGAATGCGGCTGGATTTCAACATGGCTTGCAGCAGCAACACCAATTCCACAACTCTCACGCCCACGCTACATCGTCACAACTCGCCTCCTCACATTCATCGTCACACACCGCACCCCACACATCCACAATGCTTACCGGAGGCGTGTTTAACAAAGAAACGTCACCATTTCGCAACCTTGACCCAAAAAAAGAAGACATTGTACAGCGCCTGTTATCGACGAAGGGCAACCTGTCATTTGACCAGCTCTCTGGGCGTCTTCGCTTTTTCGGCCCTACAGCCAACAGCCACGTGTACGCTGAGACATCCGACTCGGTCGATTCTCGTGAGCCGCCCGAGCAGGTACGCCGATCTGAACGCATTATCCGCTCGTTGACCTCAACCACGCACGACTACCTTATGAACTGTTTTTGGAACCACTACAACGCCATTATCTACGTCATCGACCGCGAGGCATTCGAGGCCAGCCGCGAATCGCAGAATCCCAAGTTCTACACATCCTTCCTGCACATCACCGTCCTGGCGATGGGCTACCGCTTTTCTGACCGCGGTCGTGAAGATATTAAGAAGATTAGTCTCGGAAATCGCGAGAGTACACTGCAGCGCGAGGCCAAGTACATGCTCGATATCGAGCTGGAGCGGCCGGGTGGCATTCCAAGCGTGCAAGCACTTCTACTACTCGGTGACCTCGAGTGCGGTGTCGGCCGTGACAACACCGGCTGGATGTACTCCGGCATGGCTAATCGGCTGGCCTTTGACATTGGCCTGCACCTCGACTACCGCAGCACAGGCATGAATGAGAAAGAAGTCGACATTCGCCACATGGTCATGAAGGCAGCCATTGTCATTGACAAGTACTGGGCGCTGTTCCTCGGCCGGCCGACGAGCATCAAAAGCCAAGACATTGGCATGGACTTGTTGACAAAGCGTTTCTCCTTGATGGTATCGTTCCCCACCGAGGATAACAGTGCAGACGGTGTAGGCGGCAACCGCGACGCCCGTCCCGCCAAGATGAGCAACGAGGAGATCTACGAGTATCTGTTTGAGCTCATGGAGCTGGCCGGCAAGATTGTCGAGACGCGCGACATGCACAACCTGAACACCGGTAACAACAATACCAACGCAGGTCAAAACAGCACCAACGCGTTTGGCGGTGCTTCTGGGTACGGTGGAGATGTGCGCAACAATGCGTCGGCCAGTAGCTTTGCAACCATCATGCCGTTTGCAGGCGGCACAGGTGCCGGCCGCAATGGCAACAGCGGTACGCTACCCCAAGTTGGTGCTAGTGACAACGTCTTTGCACTCGACGAGTCCGAAGAGAACGCGTACCTGCACGTCATCAGCCTGGACCGGCAACTGCAGAACTGGTACCGTCGGCTGCCAGACCACCTGACATGGAAGCCGGCCAACGTCAAGGCTGCGCCGATGAGCTTCTTCTTGCTCCACCAGCAGTACCATGTCTCCATGATTCTGCTGCACCGCCCGTGGGCCAAGTACGGCTCGATATTGTCGTCGGACGGGTCAAGCACCAACTCGCATCCGAGCCCGTCGTCTCCTTCTGCTGGTGGTGGCAACGTTGCGGCTAACCGTCGCGACTCGTTTAGCAGCAATACAACAGGAAGTCATGCCGGTGGCATGACCGTGGCACAACAGCAGCAGCACATGTACAATGGCATTGCCGGCCAGGGCTCGCACGCCATGGCCGCCAGTCACTCGGTGCTCGGCCTGGGCGACCCGCAATGCATCGTGGATGACAGCCGCACCACGTTATCGCGCAGCATTTGCACACAGCAGGCCATTCGCGTTGCGCGCATTTTTTGGCAGCACCGCCAGCGCTTTGATGGCCGTCGCATCTGCATCACGGGCATCCAGCACGCCGGCACGGCCGCCATTGCCCTGATTGCTGCTCTTGCCTACCAGCAGAGCAGCGATTCCGACCGTCGCTCGTACCTGGGTTACCTCGAGATCCTATCGTACGCGCTGACTGATATGAGCCACACTTACCAACCAGCGTCTCGCATGGATGACCTGCTCAAGGCCGTCTTGGAGCAGCTACGAAGTGACGTTTACGGGCCCGACTACGCGGCGGCCATGGCAGTGGCGACTTCTGCTGGCAACAACAGCAACAGTAGCAACAACAACAACGGCCGGCCTGGTAGCGTGTCCTCGTCAGCAGCATATGGTAGTGAGCTTGGTAGCGCTACTTCTCTTGGTGCCGGTGGCAGCAGTGGATGGTACGGTCCTGGCAACGTGGGCGCGGGAAGTGGTGGCAACATGAATGGCTTCACCGGCACCACTCTGGTACAAGCAGCCAGCGGCGCACCCAGCGGTAGCAACGGTATTGACGTCTACAGCGTGTTGCCAGCTCGGCGCGAAAACCCAGACGCGGATGCTCTCCAGTCCTTTAAGAAAAGGCGGCCCCCTCCCTCACGTCGCGCCTCCGAGTTCACACGGCCACCACCACCTTTCTTTTCGCAACACACGCCACCCGGTCCGAACGGTGCACCGGGTGGCGGTGGCGGTTTCCCAACAACACCTTCGACAACGGCAGCTGCGACAGCTGCAGCCTCTGCAGCGGCGGCGGCTGCCGCCGCGTCTGCTGCTATCCACCACCCAGGCAATAGTCACCACCACAATGTCCAAGGTGTGCATAGCCAGCAGCAGCTTCATGCGGCTCAGAACCAAATGATGACCAACTTTTTCTCAGCCGGCACGCCCGGCGGCAGCGGTGCTGCATCTGATCGTGGTGGCCCGTTCGGCTTGGACTTTCTCAATGGCTCGGACATTGACCTTGACGGATTTGAAGACCGAAATGACGCCACGGGCCTGCTTCGTGGCACTGGACTTGATGACTACGTGCTGGTCCAGCCGGGTACTTCGGATAGCTGGGCTTTGAATGGGAACACCCACCACAACCAACAGCCTCAACAGCCTCAACAACACCACATTCAACATCACCATCACAGCCAAAGCCACGGAGCCTTTGATATGCCTATGGCGGACTGGACGGTCGGCCCGTCGGCTGTTACCACAAGGCCTGTGGCGTCTGCAGCCGGTGTCAAACCCATAGCATCACTGTCAGCTTCGTCGACACGGGGTGGCAATGCGGTCGGTATCGGTGCGGCGTTGGATGCCGAGCGAAAGGCAGCCGCCTCGGCTGCTGGCTTGCGCAGCAACAACAATACCAACACCACCACAACCTCGTCCCCAAACAACAGCACCAACACTGCGCCCCCGCCCAACAACGGCGGCCCATCGCCTGCCACCATCGGCACCGATACCTTGGACTCGGTGTCAGTCTCTGGCGTCAAAAACCGTGCCAGCTTTGACAGCTTACGTCCGCAAATGGACATCCGCAACAACAGCTCTGCGGTTGGCGAGGACGAACATGGGAACAAGAACAACCTCGACTGGATGGAGGCTGACGTTCCACTTGACGCTCTCAGCCCTGTTAGCCTGAGTGGCTTGGTCGTGCAAACGGTCGAGAAGACTATGGGTGATGACAATAGAAACAACGGTGACGATGGCCGCAACACTGATGATGCCGGTGGCAACACCGGCGACCCTGGGTCAATAGCTGGCCATGATGATGACCGCAACCACGACCTGGACTTTTTCAGTTTCTAGTCGCGTCTCCAGTATCTTTTTGTTGTGTCCTTCCCTTTCTTTTGTACTTTTCTTGCGTCCCCCTTAAATTGGTCTGTTTTGAGTTTTACTGCCCAGATGAAAGTTTGGCGTCACTCAAAATTGTTTGCTTTCTGTAATGAAACGTGGACCGCTATCGTGGAAATGGTTGTATTCGTTGCAAAATTGTGAGTCTTGCTTTACCTTTTTATTCTAACTCGGGTGTTACGATCGGATGTTATGGGACCAAAGCAAGTTTGAAATTTACTTATACTTTTTATTTTATTTTCTATTAATGTTTTGTTCATTCAACCTGGTTTAGTGTATGACATGTGTTTCGTGTGTTAATGGAATTGATTTCCACGTTCTACCAAACGTGGCTCGAGGGTGTGCTGGGGTCTACTTTATGTAGTACAGGGGCCCTAAAACCTCAGAGGACCGGGTAGGAGCTTCTGTGCCCCAGTGCTGCCTCGGCGAGGATGTTCTTCCACGTACTAGGTAAAGGTTGGTGCGATGGGCACGCGAGTGAATGAGGGAGTTCGATGCGGGAAGGCGGAGAACGAGTACGATTGAGTTATCAGTCGACATTGGCCAAAACGGCTTTATTCCACGTAGCCGTCGGTGGCATAGAACAGAACACAAAATATGGAGAAACCGGGCGATCCATAAAGACGGTGCCAAATGCGGATGGCCTCATATGGGACACCCGAGATGGGTTGCCCGGCAAAGCCATCGCCTATCTTCATCCACAAAGCTTTTATTTGAAGGAACGTTTACAACAACATGCGCCTGGCATCTTTTACCAGTCCGGATTCTTCCAAACAGCCGCTGGTGCGGTACAGTGATGGCAGCCAACCCGCACCTTCCTATCACGGCTGCATGGGCAATTGGACGCCCGTCGTACACTGATTGGTCAGAAGGGCCTGATGCGATACCGATAGCTTTGGGGTGAGTCGAAGAGGAGGAAGGTGCAAATCCTGGGGCCATCTGCTCCACTTTTTTGTTATGATAGCGATTTGAAAGTGCCATTAGTAACTATCATGAATGTTTTTTGTCGTGCCAGTTTAGTTTGACGAGGCCTAGGACCGGCATCTACGGTTGAACTGTATACAACTAACTGTATGTCCTACTTCTCGCAATCCTCTATAAAATGCCTCTCTTTTCAGAATTCGCTTCAGCCACAAAGGTGAGCGGTAGTAGAACCAAGTAGAAATGATAAGGACTGCCGGCCAGGGAATAAATGTCTCGGCGTTCAAACTTACCAGTGCGTACTTTGCTTATTTAGAAGTGCCTTTGATCTTTCACAGTGGACTTTTCAGTAGGAAGCTGTGATGAGTCTGAGGTAACTGATAGCAAACCAGAGTGAAAGAAGATATGGAGGCCAAGGGTTTGCGAGTGACGGCAAGTTAATCACAAAAAAAGAATACAAGGCCTTCCTGGGACAATGTAAGGTGCAGGGAATGAAGGATATTAGTCCGAAGGATCGGGTCCGTGTCCCCTGCCATTTGAGTATCTCTCAATTGTCTTTGACCGCGTTCAAAGCGCCTCACACTCTCTCTCCGCCTTTGCTTTTCAAGTCATCCAGCTACTGCCTTGACCGCCAAATGGTGATCTCTTTCCCTTTTCGGCGACAATGAATTCGTCTTTTTTTTTTGGCGAACAGCTGAAATCCCCATTATTAACAGCCGGGCTACAAAAGAGGAAAACGAGAGACAAAAGCAAAACCAAGGCCCAAAATAAGATAATGAAGAAATTCAGAAAACGACAGAAAGAGGCGAAATTGCAGATAGTTTGATTTCAGGCCCGTTGGACGAATAACCGCGCTTTCACCTCTCGAGTTTCCTACTGCTTGACATGCTTATCATTGCCATCATCTACTTCTCTTGTGTGCATTTTAGTCACTGCCCCCCTGTAAAATTTCTAGTCTCGTTCCATTTGTTCCCATGCCTCCGTTGTTCCTGCTTATCATTACTCTATTTGGCGTCAAAACTTCCTCCTGGAATCCGTCCGCGAGTCCTTTTCCATCCTCTGGGTCGTGTGCTTGTCCTTGGCTTTTTCACTGTGTCTTACTCTTGCCTTTTTGCTTCCCTTTTTATATATTTCGCACGATCCCAGCCCATCGTCTCGTTTGTTACCACGCTGCATCCATTGAGTTCAAGCTTGCATTTGTCCTTTGAACGACTTGCGCTGGATACTTGAGTTTCGTACACTCGTTTCCTCCTCTGTTAAATTGGGTTCCTCTTCTTCATCACAATGCGCTTCTTTTCAACTGTAGCAGCCACTCTGGCGGTTGCCCAAAGTGCTTTCGCTGCCCCCCATAACGACCACAGCAAACCATGGCATCGCGGCAAGATCTCGCCTAAAGTGTTGATTATTAGTCTGGTAGGTGCTGTGTCATCAATGTTTATGTTACATGTACCTCCTAGATGTCTGCTTACTCATATTTTCTGTGCAGTTCTCCCCCGAAGCCGACGTTTGGTACAAAAACCTGCCCAGCAGCGACCTTGGCAACCTGATGGACGTCAACGTCACCGCGCCTGGCTTGTCCATGCTCTTCCCGCACGTGCACTGTGTGGCCGACGGCAGCATCTGCCAGATGACGACGGGGGAGTCTGAGATCAACGCGGCGGCCACTGTCATGGCGGCCGCCCTGTCGGGCAAGTTCGACTTGAAAGAGACGTATTTCCTGATCGCAGGCATTGCAGGCATCAATCCAAAGTACGGCACACTCGGTGGCGTCGCACTCGCTAAGTACACGGTGCAGGTGGCACTGCAGTACGAGTTTGACGCGCGCGAGATGCCGGCCAACTGGTCGACGGGCTACTTTGGCTACGGCACCAATGCACCCAATGTCTACCCGGGCAACGCCTACGGCACCGAAGTACTCGAACTCAGCGAGACTCTGCGCGACCTTGCCGTCGGCTTCGCCAGCAAGGCCAATCTCAGTACCGACCCGACTGCCACGGCCTACGGACAGCTTTACAAGGCCGCGCAGCCCGCCAGCCTGTACGCACCTGCCTCGCAGCCACCGTCAGTCGTCAAGTGCGATACCGTGACGAGCGACGTTTACTTTTCGGGCACGGTGCTGGGCAACGCCTTTGAGGAGGTCACAAAGGTCTGGACCAACGGCACCGGAGAGTACTGCATGACGGCCCAGGAAGACAGCGCAGTGCTCGAGGTGCTGGTACGTCTGGCCATTGAGGGCCTGGTCGATTTCAGCCGCGCCATCCTCATGCGCACTGGCTCCGACTTTGACCGCCCGCCACCCAACGAAACGGCCTTTGACAACCTGCGCATCGCCGACCAGAACGGCTTCGAGATCGCCATTGACAACATCTACCTAGCCGGCGTTGAGATTGTACGCGGCATCCTTGACGGCTGGCACTCCACCTTCCGCAAGGGCGTCAAGCCCGCCAACTACATTGGCGATATCTTTGGCAGTCTGGGCGGCGAGCCAGACTTTGGCCCCGGTAGCACCACCGACGGCGCGGGCTACAGGCCGAATGGCCTCTCAGGCGACAATATGCGCAGGCGCAGTTTCAGCAGTGGCATGGGCCGCAAGGCCGGTTATGCCAGGCGCTCAGACGTCGGTCTGAACTGAGACAGAGTGGTTGTGACGATAAAGTGTGAAAGGGGCCTTGATATGTGTATATAAAAATAATATTGAATATGCCGTATATAACGTAATACATTTGGTCGTATTAACGGTCGAATAACCTGTTTCTTACTTGGTTGCCTACCGGCAGTGCCCAATCAAGCTTGTCTCTTTGAGCCATTTGCAGCAGTCCTTGAATGTCTGCCGTCTGTCAACGTCTGCGACATTGCAAATCTACGGTCTCCGTTAGAAAGAAGCAGAAGTTCAAATTATACTCAACCGAGGATAACTCACGCTTGTAGTTCCAACTTTCAACCCCATGTCGCGGCAACACACGGACGTCTCGTCGGCCAGAAGAGCGCCGTTGGTGCTATTCATGCATATGCAGTCGTTCGGCGCGAGTTGCCACCCACAGTCGGCAGAGGCCGTGCTGGCGGCGAGAAAAACAAACGTGAAAATGGGTGGTAGTAACATAGTGAGGTCAGGACGGGTGTCGCGTTTGAAGGATGTTGTATCTTGTTTTCGCAGACGATAGCCGAGACGTCACTCTACTTATAAAAACCAGTGTCAAATATCCACAAAACCACGAGGAATGCGCTGGCGCCTACGCCACAACTCGGGAACGGCCGATATTGCCGTTTCAATCGACTCGCCCGCTTCTCGATATGAACTCTAGACCACCTCGTTTACACTTGCAGTTCCCCTCATTTTATAGCCATTCGTATCGAACAAAATTTCAATTTAACCGGGTACATGTCATGGCATGTCCAAACACCGTTGAATCTACGGGGATTCAACGGGGTCTCACCGCTTATGTCAGCCAGGCCGTACTAGCGTGCCTGCTGGGCGCGGCCCGCCAGCATGGCCGCCGCCAGCCGCCACGGCCCTGGCCAATTGTCAGGCACCTACAGGCCCCTTCCACTTACTTGTTATTCGCCAGAGATTCTACGGTGCATCGCAGAGTGCCTATGCACTCCCCTCTATAGCTGGGCGCCAGCCTCTAAGGCCAGGGCGCCTTCTGCGTGGGTGCCTTAGGCATGCGTTGATTCAACGGGGAATCTACGGTGTTTCTACAGATAACAATATAAACTCATCCGAGCCCTCTCCTCTCGATGAGGCGGGGTAAGGATTAGATTTTGCACATCCTACTACTTACGTTTTGGCTGTCTTGCTTCGTGATCCTCTCTCTATTGAACCCCTATCCCTAGGACCCTCTGATAATTCCTAATCCTTCTTTTCTACCAACTTCAATCAGAAGACCACTAGTAATATGGTTAAAACACGCTCTGTACCTCCCTCGGTCGGCGCCGTAGGTAGCTCCTCCGTTACGGTTGACGTTGTTTAGGGTTTAGAACCCACTATTTAGGCGGGGCCCTTTACAACGTAATCTACGTCCTTGTAGGAGGCT